CTCACACACACACACACACACACTCACTCACTCACTCACACACACACACACACACCCTGCCCGAGCCTGTCCGACTAGATTCCTGCTTCATAACTGAGGACTAAATGATTTAAGCCTAATACACTCAGAATCTCTACACTATTTTCACATTCCTGGTTCTTTTGAATTTGATAAAACTTAATATTTTTCACTTTTCACTTTCATTAAAGAGTGAATGAAAAAAAATCAGCTTTGACTGCATTTACCCCTTTTCTAATAACTAAAAAATTTAGAAATTCTTTGAAATTGAACCAGACCCAAAAAAAGAAATTATGTAAAATACATGGATATCTTTTTCAATACTGATGAGAAATTTGATTTGGATATATCACTGTATGAAATTTATAAGAACATATAATGTGAGAATTATCAGTATTAACCTCATTCGAGTGTATGAAACCCACATATTTATTTCTAACAAAACAACATCAAAACGATATGAATATTACTCGGAGAAGTTTTCAAACTAAATAAACGGACTATATTTGCATAAACTCTCCCTTTCACGGTCAGTTTTCCACAATAGACGCACATATTCATGTTAATCAACAAAATTCAGTCCAAAAGCGTGTGAGAGATGAGGAAGAGACGAAAAGCACGTTTAGACACTAATATAACTTCGTAGATAATTGTTCAAAAAGTATTTTTGACAGCTAATGGTTCTCCATACAGACCCAAGTAAAAAACACGAACGCGAAACACGTTATATCTCTTAAGAAATAGCTGCAAAAAATCTGAAAGAAATAAACTAAGTGTATTTTAAGGGTCTTAAAGCATCTGCGAAGTTTCGTTCCCGTACTAAAAACCATGCATTGTTTATGCATGTCACAGACCTGAATGCTTTATGAGGGTTAAAGACCATGAAGACAATTAATAATCAGGAATGTGCCACCCGAGTAATTATTTTCTCTTCAAAGCCTCCCTGATAACAACATTATTGATTAACTACTCGTCCTCCACGCAAACCTGGACATAAATCTTCATTCCTGAGCAAGCCCTTACACGATTAGCTCACGGGAAAGCCATTAAGACCTGAGAAACCAGCATTAACAGCACAATTAAAACGGATTAAAACCTGTTCTCACTCAGATCCTAAAAGTCTCGCAATTTTTACTGTGTTTTACAGAGCAATCATCTCCAGTATTAACCGATAAGAGCCAGAAAATGGAACATGTGACGCTTGTTTTCAGAATAAAAAACAGATTATAGACCCCTGCCCGAGCCTGTCCGACTAGATTCCTGCTTCATAACTGAGGACTAAATGATTTAAGCCTCATAATACACTCAGAATCTCTACACTATTTTCACATTCCTGGTTCTTTTGAATTTGATAAAACTTAATATTTTTCACTTTTCACTTTCATTAAAGAGTGAATGAAAAAAAATCAGCTTTGACTGCATTTACCCCTTTTCTAATAACTAAAAAATTTAGAAATTCTTTGAAATTGAACCAGACCCAAAAAAAGAAATTATGTAAAATTCATGGATATCTTTTTCAATACTGATGAGAAATTTGATTTGGATATATCACTGTATGAAATTTATAAGAACATATAATGTGAGAATTATCAGTATTAACCTCATTCGAGTGTATGAAACCCACATATTTATTTCTAACAAAACAACATCAAAACGATATGAATATTACTCGGAGAAGTTTTCAAACTAAATAAACGGACTATATTTGCATAAACTCTCCCTTTCACGGTCAGTTTTCCACAATAGACGCACATATTCATGTTAATCAACAAAATTCAGTCCAAAAGCGTGTGAGAGATGAGGAAGAGACGAAAAGCACGTTTAGACACTAATATAACTTCGTAGATAATTGTTCAAAAAGTATTTTTGACAGCTAATGGTTCTCCATACAGACCCAAGTAAAAAACACGAACGCGAAACACGTTATATCTCTTAAGAAATAGCTATAAATATATATAAATAAACAGTGTATTTTAAGGGTCTTAAAGCATCTGCGAAGTTTCGTCCCCGTACTAAAAACCATGCATTGTTTATGCATGTCACAGACCTGAATGCTTTATGAGGGTTAAAGACCATGAAGACAATTAATAATCAGGAATGTGCCACCCGAGTAATTATTTTCTCTTCAAAGCCTCCCTGATAACAACATTATTGATTAACTACTCGTCCTCCACGCAAACCTGGACATAAATCTTCATTCCTGAGCAAGCCCTTACACGATTAGCTCACGGGAAAGCCATTAAGACCTGAGAAACCAGCATTAACAGCACAATTAAAACGGATTAAAACCTGTTCTCACTCAGATCCTAAAAGTCTCGCAATTTTTACTGTGTTTTACAGAGCAATCATCTCCAGTATTAACCGATAAGAGCCAGAAAATGGAACATGTGACGCTCGTTTTCAGAATAAAAAACAGATTATAGACCTTATGAGAGAAATTATTATAACAGTTTGGGATCAGTAAGATAATTTTTTATGAAGAAATTAATATTTTTATTAATCAAGGACACATTAAGTTGATCAAAAGTGACAGTAAAGACATTTATAATGTCACAAAAGCTTTCTATTTCAAACAAATGCTGTTTTTTTTACTTTTACATCACTGGCAAACCCCTGCTTGTGTTGTATTGATTTGAGGCGTTTTACCGTGGTGTTTTACTGCGTTTACAGCAGCATGGCTCTGATTACGTAAGACACATGTCCATTAGTGTTTCAGCGGCTGGAGAGTTACCCTCAACACGTCCGCATTTGCTCACATTTCAAGTCAAACAGGATCGGATCCGATATAATCTTCAGATCTGTAGCATAAAATATCAATATAGATAGAAGGCAGCCAAATTATTAGCATACCAAGATATTTGTTTGTTCATAACTTTATGCCATGTCAGCTACAACAGCAATATTTGTGGTGAGAAACGTGTGAAAAATAAAAAATTCAATAATAGTTTATTTTTGAAAGTACAAGAGGAGTTGTGGTGAGAAACATGTGGAAAATTGAAAATAATCAAAAATAAGATTTTAAAAAAAATTTAATAAATAGTTTATTTTTGAAAGTCTAACAGAAGTTATTCATAACGAGACACGTGTGAAAAACAGAAAAAAGAATAAAACCATATTGATGCGGAAACCGTGATGAATTTTATTTTTCAGGATTCACAGATGAATAGAAATGTATTTGAAATAGAGGTCCTCGATGACTAAAACCCCAAACTATTGTGTGTTTCTGAACTCTTGAGACGTTTAGAGTTGACCCGGTTTATTTTGGCTCCTTGTGCTTGCCGTACCTGAGTGCTGGTCTCGGTGATGGTGATGAGCAGCTTCTCCACGGCGCTCTGCAGTCGAGTGCCGATGCTCATCAGAAACTCCTCCCTCTCCAGCGGAAGCTCCGCCTCCTGCAGCTGTAGCTCCGCCCCCTCGATCCTCAGCAACACCTCCAGGCCTTCGCCCGTCTCGGTCTCTGCTGAAAACATGCAGAGGTCATCGTGGAAACCCTCTGCGTGCGGGACAGAAGAGATTCTGATGAGCGACATCAAAACAACTCAATAATTATGAAAGAAAGGCCTTTAAACGTGTTTCCTTTATAACAACCGTATAAAGCTTTAACACAGTCAGGCATGTGATGTTTTTGAAAATAACAGATTTTGTAGGACAGACATGTAACGGATTAATACTTAATGAACTCCAGATTAATGTATGAGATCACAAAGGCATAAACGAGGCATGAATGAGTCACTCAGATGATCTCACAGTTTCGTTCAGGGTCTTTTGTGTGTTTTGGGTGTTGAGTTACAGGAGTGTCCGTCTCATATTCAGCCTGAGCTCCATCATGTCCAGGGCATGATACTGTATATTTCATATCAGGTGTACTACAGCTATTATGGTTATTACATTATACTAAAACTAAAGCAGAAACTGAAACCATAACAACAAAAAATGTTACTTGAAATATAAAAAAGCTACTAAAAATGACAAAGACACACAACACAATTACTAAAATTTAAATAAATAATAATAAATATTAATATATGAAATAAAAACAGATTCAAAATATTAATAAAAATTATAAAAGTATCTTAATCATACTAAAAGGACACTAAAAACACACAACACAATTACTAAAACTTTACCTAAAATTAACAATAATGATAATTATTATTATTTATAAATAATAAATAGTAAAATATGAAATAAAAACAGATTCAAAATATTAATACTAACTTTAATAGTATTTCAATGACACTAAAACACACCAAAATTACTACAACTTTATTTAAAATGAATAATAATTATTATTATTTATAAAAAATAAATAGTAAAATATGAAAACAAAGATTAAAAATATTAATAAAAACTATAAAAGTATCTTAATCATACTAAAAGGACACTAAAAACACACAACACAATTACTAAAACTTTACCTAAAATTAACAATAATGATAATTATTATTATTTATAAATAATAAATAGTAAAATATGAAATAAAAACCGATTCAAAATATTAATAAAAACTATAAAAGTATCTTAATTAAACTATAACACAATTACTAAAACTTTAACTAAAATTAAAATAAATAATATTAAATACTATTTATAAATAATAATATAAAACATTAAAAATATTAGTGCAAACTTTAATAGTATCTCAATGACACTAAAATAACAGTAAAGACGCACAACACAATTACCAAAACTTTAACTACAATTTAAAATTATAATAAATATTATTTATATATAATAAAATATGAAATAAAAACGGATTCAATATTGTACAGTGCTACGCAGATATATTTGCATACCGCAAAATAAACGATATAGCAAAAACAACACCACATTAACGATGCATACGGTCACACCGCACAGCCCTCAGTCAAAATATTGCTAAAACTATGATAATAATATCTCAGTGGCAGTAAAATAACACGGTTTGGCATCAGTGAACACACCCATACGCAGGTCACATGACCTCACCTCCACAGTACACAAAACATCTCTATGCAAAGACAATGAGTCAACAGAAAAGGACAAACAAGACAGACAGGATCTGGCTTCGCACACATCAATTACATCGTTATTAACTCCTCACAGACGAGCTTTGGTGTGACTAAGACGTTTCTGAATCTTCTATCGAACAAGATTATAGCTGAACACAAGCACTTCTGATCACTGACATTAAAGGTGACATATCATGAAAATGTGAGTTTTCCAGGTTGTAAGTGCTATAATCATGTCTCCGGTGCATCTACCAACCAAGCAAACGTGAAAAAGATTAACCCAGTAACTTTGTTTTGGGAAGCATTTTTCTGCAAGCGTCTGAGAAAACGAGCGTCTGATTTCGCTCGCTTGGTGACGTGGCAAAGGATCTCATTATAATATCACCGCCCCTTAATCTGTAAGTTTACACCCACGGCGCAGTTATCGTGTTTTCGCAAGCGACAGCGGTGTAGCAGCTCTAACGCCATGATGAAAGTTTGAGCAGAACATGCTAACTGTTCTGTGTTTGGCTGCAGAGACGAGCACAGAACACTGTTTAGAGTCCCAGCCTCAGAGGAGACGACAGAGCAGTGCATTTATTGATGTATTTACTGTATATTGCTGCTGCCACACAGATCTAAAATAAACATGCGATTTATTTCCCAGCTGTTTACCTTCACAGACATAACCCACTGTTTTTGTAACTCGTGTGTGTTTTTAACGTAAGCTTGTGTGTGAATGAGAGCTTAGTTTAGTGCTCACATGCTGCGACAGCCGCTTTCTGTGCGTGTGCGCTCATAAAACCCTATATCTGAAGTTTAAACTCATATGGTTTAAAACGCATGATTTCAGCGAGATAAACATGATAATCAGAACCAAAACAGATGTTCTGTGGGGTATTTTGAGCTGAAACTTCACAGACACATTCACCAGAGACTTATATTATATATTGTAAAAAGGGGCGTAATATGTCTCCTTTAAGAGTCAAAGTGTGACTGACGTTTATTAATGCAAATGAAGTCATGAATTTATGAAATCAAACCCAGATCGCCTGGTGAGTTATGTTATAGAGTAAAGTGTGTGTTAGTGTGTCTGACCTCTAGCAGGTCCTGCCTCCAGGATGCCCTCCACATGACGGCCGATGGTCTCCTCCGCCGCCGCCGTCGTCTTCAGCACGTCGGTCAGAGCCTGACGCAGACGAGTGTTCGCTTTACGCAGCACATCCCTGCGAGAGGAGAAAGACTGCTTACTGACTGCTGAGAAACACCTGTCTGTCTATCAGGGGTTCCCAAACAGAGCTGCTGAAGAGCTGGAAACTAACTAAATCATAAAAATGTCAAAATAAAATAACTACTTTAAAATAAAAACTAATTAAAATAAAACTTACTAAAATAATTACAATTAGACACATTCACCAGAGACTTATATTACATATTGTAAAAAGGGGCGTAATATGTCTCCTTTAAGAGTCAAAGTGTGACTGACGTTTATTAATGCAAATGAAGTCATGAAATTATGAAATCAAACCCAGATCGCCTGGTGAGTTATGTTATAGAGTAAAGTGTGTGTTAGTGTGTCTGACCTCTAGCAGGTCCTGCCTCCAGGATGCCCTCCACATGACGGCCGATGGTCTCCTCCGCCGCCGCCGTCGTCTTCAGCACGTCGGTCAGAGCCTGACGCAGACGAGTGTTCGCTTTACGCAGCACATCCCTGCGAGAGGAGAAAGACTGCTTACTGACTGCTGAGAAACACCTGTCTGTCTATCAGGGGTTCCCAAACAGAGCTGCTGAAGAGCTGGAAACTAACTAAATCATAAAAATGTCAAAATAAAATAACTACTTTAAAATAAAAACTAATTAAAATAAAACTTACTAAAATAATTACAATTGTAAAATTAAAATAAATATTTTTTTTAATAAAAACAAAATTAAAACACTTAATAAAATAATGATAAATTAAAATAAAACTTACTAAAATAATTACAATTGTAAAATTAAAATAAATATTTTTTTTAATAAAAACAAAATTAAAACACTTAATAAAATAATGATAAATTAAAATAAAACTTACTAAAATAATTACAATTGTAAAATTAAAATAAATATTTTTTTTTAATAAAAACAAAAATAAAACACTTAATAAAAATAATTATAAAATGTAAAAAAAAAAAATTTTTTAATAAAATATTTAAAATTAAAATACATTTTAAAATAAAAAAAACTAAATAAAACATACTAAAAATTAATTAAATCAGAAAAACGTAAAAAGTAAATAAATATTTGTAAAATAAAAACAAATCGGCATACAACTTACTAAAAATAAATTAAATTAAAAATTTCTAAATAAAAAAACAAAAAACAATTAAATCATTAAAAAATGTCAAATTAAAATACAAAAATAATTTTAAAATAGAAACAATAAAAATAAAACATTTATTAAAAGTTTATTAAATCATAAATGTCAAATTAAAAAAAAGAAATCAAAATAAAAACAAAAATAAAACACTTAGTAAAAGTATATGTAAAATTAAAATCAATCAATAATTTAAAAAAATTTAAATAAAAGTTGCAAAGTATTATTAAAATATAAAATTTAAATAATCTTAAAATAAAAACAAATCAAAATAAAATACAAAAAATTAATAATTTTTTTTTTAATTAAAATTTTTAAAACAAAACAAAATAATGCACACTAAAAAATTTATTAAATCAGAAAAATGTCAAATTAAAGTAAATAAATATTTGTGAAATAAAAACAAATCGACATATAACTTACTAAAAATAAATTAAATAAAAAATCTAAATAAAACAATTAAATCATAAAAATGTCAAATTAAAATACAAAAAATTATTTTAAAATAGAAACAATAAAAATAAAACACTTATTAAAAGTTTATTAAATCATAAATATGTCAAATTAAAATAAGCACATAAAATCTATCTATCAGTCTAATGACTTTATAGAACTTCAGTTTGTGCCGAATCAAATCCTGAATTATTCTTGAGCTCTAATTACTGCTCACCTCTCAGTGGTGAGGACATCAGACGAGAGCTGTGGGTCCACGGCTCTTCTCTGACCTCTGACCTTCGTCTCCTCCTCCTCCTCCTCCTCTCTCGTCTGGAGTTTATGAACAGGCAGGAAAGAAATGGCAGACAAGAAGCCCGTCATTTCATCGCAGTCTGTTGTGTTTGTCAAACTGAGCGCAGCGGCTCCAGAACACACACACAGTCAAATTCAGCACAACATGAGAAGGGCTTCTTCAGCGCTGCCATAGCAACAGCTGCACCTGACATCAGCCGGTTCTAAGGAGACGAGCGCCACCTTGTGGCACAGAGGAGGAAGTGCAGGTGGGGCAGACATATGTTTACATATTTATGTAATTACTACTTTAAAATTTCTACATTTACTATTCATGTTTATATATTTATTACACTAAAATGTATTTATTTTTATTTATATAATTATTTATTATAAATTTTTCACAACAGATCTCTTCAGCGACTGAGAAACCATGGATGAGCGCTTTTTAAATGAAGGGAGGAGTCTGTTGCCAGGGAAACAGTGCTGTTTACACTACCTGCTGGGTCTGAGTGCCGCAGCTTTGCATGCTGGGAAGCCGGTGTTCATCTCTCCGTCTCTCAGTCTCGTCTTCTCTCTCTTTCACCTGCTGCAGCTCCAGATCCCTCTGTTTCAAACACACACAGATGGAAAATCACACGCGGCTTTGAGTGGCAGAGCAAAATCAGTGAGTGTGAGAGTGAGAGTGTGTGTGTGAGTGAGTGTGTGTGTGAGAGAGAGTGTGTGTGAGTGAGTGTGTGTGAGTGAGTGAGTGAGTGAGTGAGTGAGTGAGTGAGTGAGTGAGTGAGTGAGTGAGTGAGTGAGTGAGTGAGTGAGTGAGTGAGTGAGTGAGTGAGTGAGTGAGTGAGTGAGTGAGTGAGTGAGTGAGTGAGTGAGTGAGTGAGTGAGTGAGTGAGTGAGTGAGTGAGTGAGTGAGTGAGTGAGTGAGTGAGTGAGTGAGTGTTACAGCCACCACAAATGTTTATATTTCAACAACAAATTGGAGTATAAACAATTATATAATCAAATAGTTGATATAGAGACTGATTTATGCGCTATTTATCACAATTTTTGGTTTCAGTTTCCAGCTAAATATAAAATAATAATAATTTTAGTGCATCACCAGCCAACAATAAGCAATTCCTCATAAAACTACCATAAAAAAAAACACGGTTTTCTCACTAAAATTAAAAAATACATAAATAAAATAAACTATTTTAATTTTAAAGTGAAATTTTCATTTTGGTTTCGGTGTTTTGGTATATATTTCAACAACTGTTTCTGACTCCAGATTCACATGGTTTTGGAAAACCTAGATATACAAGGAAACCTCACTTTAAAAGCGTGATTTCTAGACCTGGAAAATTAATGCAATCTAAAATGTTTACTTTACATGCATATATATTTTTCTAGTGACGTCAGTTCGAAAATCTTTTGTTTAAAAAAATTTATAATATTTTAAAAAGCGGAAACCCTGGAGACTAATTAAAATTGTTTATCCTTTATCATCAGCGCAGGAAATCACAAGCAACCCGGAAAAGTCACGTAAATGCATTGGCTAAAAAGAGTGGAAACCCTGGAGAATAAATAAATAAATGTGTAAAATCCATTTGAATATTGTCTTTGATAATGAGAGGCCTAAAGAAGTACAGAAGCCAAATGCAGAAAAATAATTTTTTTTTAGCATGCATATAGTGTCCATTCGGAGGCAGCACAGCTCCATATCTCCTTATAGTGTCCCTTATCAGAAAAGAAAACGCCTCTGGATTTCTCTGATCGGAGATGTGTGAGGGTTTGACTCAGCTCTGGGCTTTAAACGCATCTATCATTAGTGCAAGCGCTTCAGAAACATTCGGCAGAGACGGACGCGCACCAAAGCTGAAACTCTTAACGCGGGTTAATATTTAAAGAAACACGCACGGACACGCACACGCACAGACACACTCACACGCGCGCACACTCACACGCGCGCACACTCACACGCGCGCACTCACGCTCACACTCACACACACACACACACTCACTCACACTCGCACTCACACACACACGCGCACACTCACACTCACACGTGCGCACACTCTCACACACACACACTCACACTCACACACACACACTCACACTCTCTCACACACACACACACACACACACTCACACTCACACTCTCTCACACACACACACACACACACACACTCACACTCTCTCACACACACACACACACACACACACTCACACACACACACACACCGGGCTGAATTATGAGCCTCAGCATGTAAATATCAGTCTAACAGCAAATGAAAAGTTACGAGGCTTCATTAAAAACGCTCAGCAGAGCGACTGAGAGAAAGGTGGACTTTAGCAGAAGATGCGTTTCGCTCAGAGATTCACTGAAGTCCTTAGACGAAAAATATTTTCTGTAAGTTCCTCTGAGATTTTTAATATTTAAAAAATGTACAAAACATTTGCACTTTCATGCCAGTGATATTTTAGTATGACTAAGATACTATTATATTTTTTATTATTATTCACAATTCATTTTTATTTTTATATTTTCAGCATTCGTTTCAAATTTAGTCTGTTGTGTAATTTTGCCAATTTCATTGTCTTTATAGTTTTTATACATTTTTATTTCAGTTTTAGCTTTACTTATTTAGGCACTTTAAATTAAACCAATTTTTTCCCCTGGCAACTTGCTGAAATAAAATAACTAAGTGTGTGTGTGTGTGTTTTTTTTTTATTAAAATTTTATTTTATTCCTGTTTACTTTTTTTTCAAGTCACGAAAATATATTTTTATGGTTTAACTATAATAACGGTTCACAGTTCAGTTAATGACGGTTAACGATCACACGACACGCAAGTAAACAGATAAAATATCTTTGTTAGTAAGTGTTTTG